AATTACCTGCGAAGGTCACGGCGAACATTTCCTTTCTAACTGTGAACTTTATGCCAGCTTAATAAAAGAACCGACTAATGACAGCGAATCAAACATAAGCTGATATTCAATCTATGAATTTGTTGAATCATCTGCACATTCACTTTTTTTAATGATTTATGGATGATTTGAAACTTAGGAGTAGCACAGACAATAATAAGAGTGGGCAAGGTTCAAGTTACAGGGAAATAGAAGAGGAGATATCTTATTAGATATTGTAATGTTAATATTACTATGTATTCTTATTGGAATGTAGATTTCTTTTAACCCTTTGCGGCACAGTGTGTCCGGTCTGGACACACTTAAAAATTTTCTTCTGTAAGCACAGAAAAATTGAATGAAAAAGGATTCATAGGTTACTCTAAACATTCTTTATTTATAGTAGATGGAAGCTCAACACAAACCAGTCCATATATTTTAGCCATGTCTAGTTTTTTAAGACCCTCATTTTTCAAAGAAATCTTCCAGATTTAAAAGGAATTGTTTGAAAAAAAATGTCAATGTATCTTTTTGGATGTATACTAATCTCCTTATTCTATATTAGTTTTAAATTTGTACCTTGAAATCTTTCCTAAAATCGAACGGCGAACCCTAGGTGTGCCCAGACCGGGCTCACCGATAATCTAGGAGTCTGTATTCTTTGTTTCTCCGCATCTCATTGGTCAGATTATTGACAACAATGCTCGTTTCAGCACTCTTCTCGAAGCTCTATTCAATCAGTGTGCCCACTTTGGGCACACCCACAGAATTAAAACGATAAGTGCTATCTTCACAAAATTTTACTTATGTACTCCTCTAGGCCTAATTAACCTGCGTACTTTTTTTTCTAAATCAAAACTCCGACTTTAAAAAATAGCGTGCCGAAAAGGGTTAAAGAAATAATATTGTGACCGTTACTGAAGTTTATCCATGACTACTTTTCATTTATTACATTCTTTTTGTAAACGCGTCCTTCGGAAATTAAGTTATTCGCATAATTCTCCCCTCTCGATTTTCGGAAGATAAGATTAGTGAAAAAAAGGAAGGAAATACAGTATATAGTAACTACATGTGTAATAAAGTACTGGACAATAAGAAATATAATGTCGTAATTAGAGATTACTATTAAATTTTGAAATTCCGGTATATTCTAGATATATCGGCGACTGATCAATGTAAAGTATAGAGGACTGTAAAATTATAACGAAAGTGTAAAATTTGACTACATAAAAAAATGAGAGATTTCTTGCAAAAAGTTAGTAAATGTTCTGTGAATATAATGCGTAAAATTTAAAAAGAATTAATAGTCTTTAAAAACGGCATATCTAAGCTCACAAATCTATAATAATATTAAAACAATATTAAATTTGCGGCGAAACTAAGGAAATTTACTTACGTATTTTATGTAGTAGTTTCAATCATTTCATGGCATTCATACTTCTATTTATTACTGCTCCCAAAAACAAAGTTATTAATTACTGTGCTTCCGCATGCAAGATTTTACTGTGACCTTTAAGAAAAGTATATATTTTCACGTACAGTTTTAAGTGTTTTACATTAATATTTTTTATCAAGTGTTAATATGTATTTTGTTTTATATAATTTGCATATTTTATGTTACTGTGTATGCACTGTGCGTTATTATGTAGGTATTTGATGTTACTGTTTTATTTTGCATATTTATTATAACATATTTTGTACATATACAGGGTGTTTCAGAAAATCGATTGCAAATTTTCAGAAGCGATAGAAAAAGATGGAAAGAAGAAGATGGAAAAAGGCGTAGGCAGTGCATGGTCGGAAACGCTTTTCTGGTGGAAGAAATCCTAATTTTCTTCTTCAAATCCGAATCCTTCAAAGTAGGCCACCAGCGGCCGAGCGGTAAAGTCGCTGAACACTAGTAGTTCGATTCAAGTTTCAAATGCCGCGAACGGGCTGGCTGCATGGGCGTTTTCGTGGTTTTCCCCATGTGTAACGTGTATACGAGCCAGTTTCTCTCAAGTCCTCCACGAGGTATCCCTGCCCTTAAGCAGATAGCCCTAGTGTGCTTTACCATAATCTCAATAAACCAAACCACATCGAATCTTTAAAGTTTCTGCACCCTCCAGAATTTCTTGAATTCTTCGAAAAAGAAAAAGAAGGAAATATGAGACACATGACTTAGTATTAAAGTTTCTAAGTAAACGAAATTTGAAATATTTGCTTAGTAAAAAACAAACCTATGAATAAAATTTTCAAAAAATATACTATCTATGTTAAAAAAAAATTAAAATGAAATTTAGTATATAAAGTTTACAATTAAAACTAGAATCTCGAGGTCCGTTTTCCAACATAATTTGACTCCCCCCTCCCGAACAAAAATACAGCAATAGTTCAAATTTCAACTAAGAATTCAGGAGCTGTGGTTAAGTAGTTTAATTGGTAAACAACAGGAGTCATGGCGAGTTGTTCAGCATTTAATATACGACAGCATGCGTTGACAGGAGCATCTAAGATCTATAGTAATAATTTATTTAGCATTACTTTATTAGCGTAGAATTACTTAAGCGATTCGAGAGTAATTTCGAGAATTTTTTTTTAAATTGAGCGATTACTTGAAAATTTTGACAGATTTCGCGTGGTGACGTTTTGAATTAAGTATGACATTCAGGGCAGCCGTCTATTGATTATATGTAGATAATATTAATGGCCCAGGAACAATAGAAATTGAGATAATCGTGTTCTTTTCAACTGGATATCAGCACAGAAGATATCAATTGCAAACGATATGTTCCTGGAAACGTAATACTGGAATATGTCATATAAAAACTATATTTTTTTAACCGCCCATCATCTGTTATTTAGTGCACCCCAATATCACTTGGAGCTTCAATCGCCCCCTAAAGGACCGTTCCCACTAGGGTTTATCTGAGCTAACGGACACAGCTGACGTAGCTGACCCACCTCCAAAACCAGTTTTTTTCCATAGGACAGCAAGTTGAAAAATCTGAACTGCAGGCACAGCCGAGCTAGACGACACTGCAACTCACTCCGTTAGCTCAGATAAAGCCCAGTGGGAACGGTCCTTTACACCCTTCAAGAACCACTAGGAGGCACCATCCACTTTGAGAATAACTGGCTATTAAAACAACAGAAAAGACAAATATATTAGCAATGCAATGCATGGAAGTCATATCTCAGGTTTAATCTAATGGTGTAATGAATATGTTTAACTTTCACTGAAAAAAAAAAGAATGCATATCTTATGATTCTGTTCGCATTTTATACGTTAATTAAATAACGTATGCTTGTTAAATACGGAAACTAGACTGTTTATTTTTAGGTGCGAACTCTGCGATGTTGATAACTTATTTTAAATAATTTTCGCATATTGCATAAATAATCTCGAAATTCAATTTCACCGCAAAGCCCTCAGTACTGTCTCCTTTTTTTATAGTTAAGAGGAAACTAAAATCGCTAGTTTTGTTTTTCAAGTCATTCCTCTAGTCTTCTTTTGAAGGATTTTTTTTTTTTTTTATTTTTTCTTTTTTACATAATTATATCTTTGTGCGTCACGGAAACATACTTTCCTGAATATAAAGCAAAAGGAACAAGAATTATTTATTTATACGAAATAACTACAATAAGCATTTTTTCTAACTCAAAAATTCTTTTACTGATTTCAAAATGAAATAAATAATTTTTAAATGTGCTTTTGTTAAGTAAATTTACTTGTGGATCCTCAGATTCTCTAAAAGAGTTTGCCCATCTTTGTTACAAATGCATATTTATATATGACATGAGCACATCGATTTGCCTGTTTTAATTTTAAAAAAAAATCAAATGCGAAAAAGGCAGAATGACTAATACGAAAACTTTTCGTATGCAAACAGATCAAATAATGTGAAACCCACGCAGAAGAAATTCATCTTGAACAAAGCATAATGATTATTCAACTGATTTCGCAAAATACTTGCATTTCAATTTTGACCATAAATTTAAAATTTTCTCATAATCATAAAATAAACCATTGATACTTTATCAAGAGTTGAATGTGTTTTAAATACAATAAGAGTTTCAAATCGAAATGCAGCAAATTTACTTAAATACAACTGGTATTTTCGGTTTTTGAATGCATTATATTACTTGTGATCAACCCCAAATTTAATAATTAAAAATCTTTTTCCGATAGAATATGATTTATTAGGAAAGACAGATAGTAGTAAAATTATACATATATTTGGAAAAAAAAAAAAAAAAAAGAAAGAAAGAAGCCACGTATTGAAGCATTTTTCTATTGCGCATACTTTTATTAATGGAAATAAATTACTTTTCTTGCATTATAAATATTATTAAATACATTATAAATATATTAATACATTTTCTACAGGGATGGTTATTTTATTAATTGCATGTATTATTTAACTATTACTCTCAGGTTCAAGACGAACAGACTTGTTAGGAAAGCACTGGAAATGTTTGTCCTAGAATTTTATACTCTGAATTCGTAAAAAGTATAACAGTTTAAAACCAATATCAGTAAGAAAAAGAATAATTTAAAAAAGAAATGGAAGCAGAAAGTAATATAAATTAGCAAAATGAATTCGTCCCCTCGATTATTAATTCAGATAATTTGGTAAAATCAAACATTTAAGCATGATTAATCCATGATTTATATTTTACAATGAAAGGCGACTGTAACACACATAGTAATTTGTAATAAGAGACCTTCATTAAAGTACAAGTAGCATAAAACTTATTAAAACCCCGGTTTACATTTTATTTTCAGCAAAAATTATAATTATCCGAACTTTTAATTACCGCAAAATAAGATTCATTTTCAAACCAGATTCGGCGCGTGGTGATGAATCCCGTTTGACACTGTTGCTATGGGAGCTTAGCTTCTTTCCTTAGAGGTGCGGTCGTCGCCAATCGATCGACACCTGAAACCTTAAATTATATTAAATAATTAGTTTAATATATGAGAAAGTATGCAAACTAACCTTCTTTTGATATACACGGAGAAAATGTTATAAACATCGCAACGACTATTTTCGACCGTCACCGACGAGTTAATTTGTTTTTCCAGCTACAATCCAAAACCTCTAGAAAGCTAGTATAGAGTCTCTTTACAAGCAAACCGCCAGATGTCCCTCCAGCTGCAAATCGATCATAATCTACGGTAGGAGCTCCTGAAAATCACACGAGAAAGTTAACTCATATGATACGGAGATTAACACTGAGAAATATCTCTAACAGCTACGGAGTTGTGTTACAATGTTTAATACTGCATTAATTTTTGCTTATGTGTTTAAATTTTAAATATAATCCTTACCTATAGATGGCACCACAGTACAGTCGCTTGACATTTCTACGGCGATCATCGTAAACATTGAAGTTCCATCTATTATTAGAAAACAAAACTCCATGGCCTTTCGCAAAGAACAGTGAACCACGGTTTAACGCCATCAATTAAAAGGGATTAATAACGCTTTCCGTTTTTACTTTTGCAATACTGCCTCGTAACAAATCGATTTTATTTTGCTCTGATGCCACTTCTTTTTTCTTTATACAGATCGTAATTTAAACTTATTACTGTTTTATTAATCATTCATTAAGCACTAGTCCAATTTAATTTAAATTTTCTAACCGTTTTTTCCCTTCATTTTCGAGACACTCCTATTGTAATCGCGAAAAGTTTCAGGCAGCATATTTCAACGAAAATATCCATTTTAACCGCTATCGAATGCAATTTAACGATGTTTTTGCGTGATATCTGTACGTAAGGACAGAACAAAATACTCTTTTCCTTCAAAAAAATTATAAAACTGCTTTAAAATTAATTCTGAAGAGAATTCTGTACGAACGTATGTACGTACGTGCGTATCTCGCATAACTCAAAAACGAGTAGCCTCAGAACGTTGAAATTTTGTATATAGAACTGCTATAACATGTAGATGTGCTTCTCGTATTTTGGGTGCAATCGGCCGCACCAAACGTATATAAATATATTTATATATATATATCCACTCTGTTACCCGGCTCAGTGATCTCAGTTTCTTTACTCTTATATGTTTGTAAATTGTACATTTTTTGCTTTAAAAATGATTGTATTATGTTGTTTTTATCTTCCGGTTAAGGTTGTTAAGCCTTTAGTAAATCTGTATGCAATATTTTTAGAATTATCAACAATTTTAAAGTTGTCTAAGTGCTGCTAAGCCTTTTTTTAATGACGGCCATTGATGTTTACATTTGAAACAGGAGACTAGTGGATTTGTTGCCAATCTAGAGAAACTTTGCTTCCCAACAACAAAGATAACGCATTCATTTATTATTGCCAATTAAATCATGCTTAATTCTTTCTGGAATTTTTTCGAGGAAATAAGTGTTTAAGATTTACTTCGTAATTTTTAATATAGATATTTTGAGTTTTTATGTATTTCTGCCTTCTCGCGAAGTGAGAACTGAATTAATTAAATGAGAAATACTCAATCGTCTGTGAAAAACTTTCTTTTTTGTTTTCTTTGCTTAATTTCTGTTATACATCATTCTAGCTTTATTATAGTATTTGAATAGAACATGTGGCAACGATTAGATAATTCTATTCTTTAAATGATATAAATTTTGTGCATTATGAGTTATAATATGAACGAAATATATAAGTTAACTGTTATATAATTATTGGACTATATACTCGTATAACAGTTAACTTAGTTTCCGTTATATAATTATTATTATAAGCTAACTGTTATATAATTATTAATACTGTTAAGTGAATCTAGCGCCAGAGTGTCGCTATGGTAAACAAATACTAGAGTGAATTTTAAAGAATGCATTTATTCTATTGTGGTTTATGCACTGTCGGCGAAGTAGATTTAATTCAATCCAATAAAATGAAATGCAAAAAAAAAAAAAAAAAAAAAAAAAAAAAATGCGTATAATTTAATATTCCGTACAAGGAAGTCATGTGGTGTATACATCAGATTTTTTAAGTTGTTTACAGGACTTTCTCTTTTAATTCTTTAACAGAGACTAAAGATTGAAATTTTCCATTTTTACTTTTTACACAGTAAATTTTCATGAGTTCGTTTACTGTTTGCATATTTTGAACGCAAAATTTTTAAAACTTGTTTTTGTAAGATGTAAAATATTTCTCTTTTCATATTTTTGTGTTAGAAAGCTGAGACAAATAGGGTAAAGAGACAATTCAATGAAACTCTTAATTCTACTAATTAATTGACTAATTGATTAAGTACTACGCTTCCGAGGCTCAGTGAATTAGTCGGAGGGAAATTTTTCTTGGCTCTCTTATTAATCGACCAGATATGGAGCTTCAAAACGCTTTTCCCTTGACAAGTTCTGTTATGAAACTCCCAACGAGGGAGATTAATTTTAGCAAAATTATTTTCTTTATTAATGTCTTAGTATCTTACATTTTTACTTTTTTGTAGTTCATGTATTAATTTCCTGGGTAAAATTCATGTCTTCTTGCTGATGAGTTGGATCTAACATTATTTTTAAACTTCATTCACTTTGCGCTAATTTATTACTTTTAGTACAAACGTATTTTCTTCTTACCTCGTTGACTGCTTCTTTTCTCTTTGTATACACACACATATATATATGTGTGTATAATAATTTATTTACTAAAGAATATTGATTATATTATCTCCTAAGATTAATTTTAGTAGAATTATCTTAAAAGAGTGAATCCATACTTAGTAATTTCAATTTCAAAACATGTTTTAAAGTAACTTGAATGTAAATTGTTAAAAATGTTTAACGTGACCTTGAATTAAATCATGAATAACAAAATTTCAATTGTAAAAGAAATAAATTAAAAGCAAGTAATTAAATTAAATGCAAGTAATCATTGCCATTGATCGGAAATTAGTTGACTTTTCAAGGGGAACAAACCAACTTCCGTTCAATGAATAATAATTAAGAAATAAATGAAGGTGTTTCGTCCTTTACTCGAGCAATAAGGCGATGCCAAACCGGCAATTCAAGCTAGGCCAAACATTTCCGTGAATAGGAGAGGCCAAGAACCAATGCAGAGAACCAAAGAACCAAGTCCCCGGTAAGCATTTTTAACAATTTACATTCAAGTTACTTTAAAACATTTTTCGAAATTGAACTTACTAAGTATGGATTCACTCTTTTAAGATAATTCTATTAAAATTAATCTTAGGAAATAATATAATCAATATTCTTTAGTAAATAAATTATTATTAACTTACTTTGCAGCAATTGCGCAAGTAGTAGAATACCTCGATTTCGCACTAAGTGAATTTAAGATCAATACAATATATATATATATATATATATAATGAAAAAATTGAAATTTTTAAGAAATATACTCTCTACATCTCCCTAGGAATATATGAGCATCATGTTGTAAACAGTAATGCATAATATGAGCTAACATCCATTAAATCGTTATTTGCATCCATTTTAAGATCAGAAACTATATTCATTCCAGTTTTCTAAGGAATACCACCAAAGCTGACATCTGCATTGGGACCACTGAAAGTAAGATAGGTAGAAGATATGTTTTTTTTTATAGCAGAAATGTCAGCGGAAATGGTCCCAAAGTTTCCTCAGGACATGTATTTCCCTTTCAAAACACCTGAGATAGAAGTATATAAATATGTGTATAATTTACTGATAGCTACAAGAAATGTTTATGTAACATACTTATAATCTGACTAAATTCTTCACACAGCATTTTTTTCGTCCTCTTTCCCTCATCTTATCTTTGAAAGTGGTTCCAATTTTATTTGTTGTTTCTTCTGAATAGGCAGATCAAGGAGCATACACAATATTACACATTTAATGAATGATGCACAAATGCCACCTATCTATTCATGTGGAAACACAGCCTATCTATACACGTCCACATATGTGAAAAAGTACGGGACAGTAAGGGTCAATATTATGACATATGCGCACACTAACGCAACACAATGTATGACCGTTGAGTGGAATCATTAGAGTTTATTATGTTCCAATACTCACATGATGCTAATTGAGAGGAGAGATGAAGTTACTCAAATGTGCTTCAGCTTCTGATGTATGGTAATATTACGGACATTTTATGACTAATTACAAAACTAGTATTTTTAAAGCTTTTATTGAGAATGGGACACATTGGACAGTTTTATTAAATTGACTGAATAATCAGGAAATGGGGTTAAAAGAGTTCTGTCACATTCAAAACAGTAGTTATAGTCGACTTAGTTAAATTAGGTATTTTTATGGTCGTAATTTATGATACACACTTTTTCAGTTTGCTTATATAGCAGAAATAAAAACATACTTTATAAGCAAGAGAAGTATACTAACTTAAAATTATAAAAAATCTAACCTTCCAATAAGTTTAATTAAATTATATATTTACATCTCTTCTCTACATCATACACAGCAGTGTCGGACTTATCAAAAATTTCAAAGAATGTTTGAATGTGTGGACAATATACGGGTCATTTACTGTCTGAATGCAACCACTTCCACTCATTCTTACTCGTAAGGCACAGAATTCCTGAACCACGAAGCATGTGTAAAAAGAAAGACAAATGAAATCTTAGTAATGAACTGCTGCATATAACAAATTTTAAATTCCTACACAGTAAATGTTTTTGATTTCAAATTATTTAGGTCACATAAGAGATTTTTGAAGAATGAACAAAACAAAAAAAACAAAAATAATTGAGTACACCATATATATTTTTGTTTTGATGCACTGTATTCATATGATAAATCTGCAATTATTTGAAAAATTTAGAATGAGAATTAAAGTGGTGCAGGTTGGTGGCATTTAAATTTCTCTTCACTTTGTGGCATTTGTGTATATAGCAGAGCTAAATTGCTGCGGTACTTCTCAGTTTTCGAGATAAATTATAATTTCAGCCGGAGCCCTAAATAAAAGAGCTCAAAGTAAGTTTTACGATTTTCAGCCTGCACTTTCAAAATCTGTTGTTTAGCTTCCTTGCGAAGATCATCACGAGCGTTGACGAAATCTGACTGGATCTCTGCATTAACAGCTCTGTACTTTTATCATGATTAGCAGATTTCATTTTAGTTCCAAACATGAGTTCGAATAGAGTTGTGTTGATACTCCGTTGGTATGTTGAATTGATCACTTGCTTAACTTCACCGATGTGTATATACCATTTTGACAGATTTTGAATCGATAATTTGGAAAAAACAGAAATTATGACAGAATTCAATCTTTCAATTTGTCCATTGGCCCGAGGGAGTCTTGTAGTAATTAGAATGTGCTGT